AATGATGATTTGTGTTTCATTTTTTATCCTCAGGTTGGATTAACACTTTTGAAAGGCCATTATTATTATTAACTCATATTTAAAAAATGACAGGAAGTTTAAACAAATAATAATAAAAAAAAATCAACCTTTGGCAAACCTCATTTCTGTTCTGAGCGTTCCATTGTTCTTCAGTGTCGATGAGAACTCAAACGTTTGTCCTTGAACCTGAACTCCCAGTTGAGTCTTTTGGGACGACGCAAAGCTACACTGCACAGTGAGGCTGAACACAATACAGTAGATGTGCCAGTAATAACATAATAAAATAAAACACATTTTTTAAAATTAAATTATTCTTACTAAAATGGCGTGTCCCGAAATATAGAGCCATTCTGCTGGTGCCGCTGTTTGACCTCTATGTCAACTGAGTAGGTTATAATCCCATTTGCAGTCTTTAAAATAAAACCAAACATTGGTGAATTATTTGTCATTATTTGTGACACAGCAAACACTGCACACAACACAAAATACTGCAGTAAAAAGACACAAATATTGACCTTAAACTGAGTGCCACAGTCTGTGAATGGAAACTGGAAGGTGACAGAATCACCAGATCTTCTTGGAGGATTACAGTTGTGGTTCAGACTGAGGGGGATCCAAAGAGCATCCAAGTTCAGCGGTGGGACTGTGGCATTCTGGGTAATGGTAATATTAAAGCCATCCTTGCTGCAGAAATACTGTCTTGGCATCGATAAATCATTCACAGTGTTTGCTTCTGTGAGAAATAAAAAAAGCTAATTTTAAACAAAAAACTGTCATATAAAATGATATTTTACCAGGGCGTGTTTGCTTCTGTGAGAAATTAAAAAAAGCTAATTTTAGAACAAAAAACAATGTCATATAAAATGATATTTTACCAGGGATGTTCGATAAAATCGGCTGTCACTAGATGGCAGCATTACACCACATTTAATTAATCACATACTCATACATTGGTTTGTACAGATAAAAACATATGTATATATTACCAGGTATTTTATTATATTGGTATCGGTTGATATCAGAATCGGAAATTAGGTGTTTGGACAATATCGGCAAAAAAGTTAATATCAAGCCTAACATTTTACCAACGTCCACCTGTGGTCACCTTTATTTTTCCTTTTACAGATGAGTAGGAAAGACTTCACTATTTCAAATCTTCCTCTTCCTGCCGATGCCATGATAACAACAGTCAGAACTGTGTTGTACTTCTAAAAAAACAAAAACGAAAATATCTGGATCATATTATTGATATTTAAAAACAGGCTGCGACTCAAAATAAATATATATTTTTTTTAACTCACGTGTCTCCTCACAAAACATCCGTGGTAGGAAACGACGAAGTTAACGAAAGTATCGCCTTCACTCAGGAAGTAGTGGCACTGTTTTGCAATTACAGCAGCCTGGTAAAAGCCCCCGCGTTCATCTGTGGGGGGTAAATACAAGCAGGAATAAGCACTTCAGCGGTCTGACGTACAGTAATGTTAGTGTTTGGCTCACCTCCAACATAAATACTGAGGGGAAGATCTGGGAACTTCTCCTTTGATATATAAACAGACATGTTCTCCTCCAGACAAAGCAGCGAGTTGTCATGTGTGGCGCCCAAATCTGTTGCCAGAGTTCGTTTTGTAGCAACACCGGCTTCACACTTAAGATGAAGCAGCAACAGGAAAACAAATGTCGTAATGTCAGCTGCCATGTTTGGCTGCGGTTTGTCTGTCTGTCTATCAGGGTTAGCAGCTGCCACTCATTTAGCTAAATTGATCTTGCTAGCATGTGACGCACAAACCAAGGCAGCAGCGGTGAAGCTAACCGCTACATTAGCTGCTATATTTGGTCTTTTTTTTTAGCGCTTTCAGATGTGAAATTAAAATCTTGTTAGATTTTAATGTATAGTTAAGTCAGTAAAGCCAACACAAAATTGTCCCAATAAAGAATTAGAATTAAAATTAACCTCTCAAGAAAATGGGGGAAAATCGGAGGAACATAAGCATAGTATATTTTATAATGAGTTTATATTAACAATAAAGGCTACAATGCAGCCATTGAGTCAAGAGTGTGTTCACATTTTCAATTTGCTTTTAAAATTTTTTTTAAAATTATTTTTAACACAAACCAAAGCTTATATTTTGGGTTCAACTGGTTGTCTTTAAACGGAAGCTACGCTACATATTTAGCCTACTGTGAAACATAACGCTAACCCTCCTTCTATTGTTAGGGTTAACACAACTTCGTGAAGAGAGAGTTCATTAGCTGAGTCTGAGGTTATCATTGCTTTGTCTTCATATCCATTCATCTGAATGTAATTCTCCACCTTTTGGTAAAATTTCAATTGTAATAAAACATTGTACAAACATTGAAAATTTGAATTTATTGCCAGGGCCAATTAGAGGCTTGCAGAGCCTCTGGGGCATTTAAACAGAGGCAAGTGAAAATATTGTGCAGAAACATATTGACAGAAGAACATAACATGCTAATATCAGTCTGCCGATATTATCGGACATTCCTAATAAAATTTTTAAAAAATTACTTGTTTTAAAAAAGGACTAAATTCTGAGAATGAAGGTTTAACTTTTTTTATGGCAATGGTATTTGTACAATATGTTTAACCAAGTAAAACATTTAAACACTACAACATTAATAATAATTTTATAACAGAAATAATGATTGCAACAAGACGTGATGCAGCTTCAAAACATAATTAAATACTTTAACACTTATATTGTGTAATGTTTTATTGTTCCTCGTCCCTGACATCCTTACATCCTTACAGGGGGAGCTGCTCTGTGCTTTAGTTGTAAATCGGGTTTGGGAAATAACCTGAACCAGAAACAACAGAGAAAAAAAAAAGTTAGACACGAAAAAAAGTTCTTAAACAACAAATAAACAGACAAGGGCAGCACCAGAGTGTAAAGCCATCTGGCTGTTAAGCAGGGGTAGTAGTAAACCACTAGGGGGCGACTCCATTGGTTACACGTAGAACTTTTGTTAAAAATGTGATTTTGGGCAGAATATTAGTTCTAATGGATGATTTAACAACAAATCGTACTGTATGGTGATTAAATACATCCTCATACCAATGTTTTGCAGCCCAGTCAAGTGGGGGTAAATTCTGGTGCCCTGCTCTGCTTGGGTTGGTTCTGGGTAATAAAATCCTGTCAATCCGGGGTGGATGACGAAGGGGTTGTTTGGCTGGGTGGGGTGTCGGTCATCATTCACCCAAGCTGTAGAACAACATTGAAGGTATTCACTCCTTGTTTCTGTTAAACGTGTTGTTTTGAACACTAAGAATTTACTACTACTAGAATTAAATTAAAATGAGACAACTAGACTGAACATGGTTGTTCTCTGGGGCATTGCAACTCTGCTCTAGCGCCCCCTGCAGGGGAGGAATGGAGAGTGGATTTGTGAACAGTATTTAACCCTGTATTTGATAGCTTATGGGTCAAAGCTGCCGCTTGGAGGCGCCAATTATGTGGCTCCTGTGGGAATCGAACCCAGGACTCTTTGCATGAAAGGCAGGTATGCTAACCGCTACAGCAGTGATTCCCAACCAGTGTGCCGTGAGAGATCATTGGGCTGGAAACTATAAAACACAATTTTTGTTTGCTCATCAAAGCGTAAAAGACAGAGAAATGTAATACTCTTCTGCTAGGTGGCAGCAGATGGCTATGAAAATTAAAAAATATATAAAAATAATCAGAGCTGTTGAAGAAAAGTGTCTTTCTTCAATTCCTGCTAGTATATCAGTGTTGCCTTCAACTAAACAGGCTGAGATTTTAGTCAATGATGAGGTCATTTAAACTGGAAGATTATTAGATTTCATTACATATTCTGTAGTTTTTTGTGCGATTGTTGTCATTGTCTTACCCTGAGTTCCTCCAGCTAAAGGACTGTCGGCGCTGTGTCTTTGTTTGCAGCTGTAAAAGTCTGAAAGACAGGTTTTCGATATTCACAGTCACTGACTGTTGTAACACAATGTCTGACTGATTAAACCGTGTGTTTAAAAAGTAGAAAGTAAGGCCTCCAGTTCACCTACTGTAGATGAAGAAGCTGAACACGAGCAGAGCTGCAGTGACAATGAAGATGGAAACTGGAAACCACACGGTTTTTTCTGGCGCTGCACCTGAACATCATGTTGTGGTTTAGCAACAATGTTTCATAGACGACATGAGCTCAATGACTTGTTTGCTGTGAGACGCTGCAGAAGTTAAAACCCCCACCTACCTTCAGCAGTTACCAGCTCCACCCTGTGACAGTCAGACGTCTCCGCGTGCACACAGCAATAACAGCCCAGGTCGGAAAAGACCAGACCGTCGATCCGGATTGAGAAGTTGCCTCTTGAACCCAGGTTTGGAAAAACCTTGACTCTGCCTCTTTCAGGGAGCAGAAATTGAACATGGCCAACAGACGGAAAAATAACCAGGCTGTTCAAGTCGTGTTTCCATGAGATGGAGAAATGTTGTTTCCTCTCATGGAACAGTGTTCGATGAGATTGAATCTGTGCTGTTTGTGCGATATCAAAGTTGCATGGAAAAAGCACAGATGAGCCCAGTTCAAACTGCAATGTGTGGGTCTCACAGACGTTCAGATTCTGGCCACAGACTTCGTCAGAGCACAGCGCACCTTTATGAAAAAGAAAAAATTACAATATATTTATAAATTATACATTTTCATTCATGTAAAAAAAAAAAAAAAAAATTTTCATTCATGTAAAAAAAAATCAAAAAAAAAATACCAACATGTTTTTAAATATTAAATAATGGTACGAAAAAATATTTTCCTTTTTGTAAAAGGCGAGTCAAATTACAGTTTGATTAGCACAGGTCTAAATAAAAATATTAGTTTTTTTCTCATACATTTACGACGTCAATGTTGTAATTTAATATTTGTTTTTCTCCCTCAGACTTTGTCGTAGTTTTAGGTGATTCAAATGTGTGGCTTGACCGTGTGGAGGATCCAGACCTGTAGATGTTACTACTCATTTACAGAGATAATATAAACGGATAAACGGTCAACTTTAAAGGCATTTCCTTTGTTTAAAAACATGAATATCCTATATTTCCAGTTATAAGATGAAAATTAAAACCTTCAACACCAGTATTGATTGGACATGAGGTGCCAAACTTTTTTTTTCATATATATTTCTCCATGTCTCGCAGGTCATCTTCTCAGCCCTTCTTAATCATTTATTTTGTCCTAAACTAAACACACGTTTCTCTCTCTTAGCGCATATTAAGCAAACTGTAAATGATCTCACCGCATGTAGAAATGAGCACAAAGCCCAGGGCTAAAGGCAGAATCGATCTGGAACCTTCCATCGTCTCCAGCCTCCTCTCAATAACTGTCAAGAGTTTTGTCTTGGTGTCTCATTTAAACCCTTCCTTGCACAAACCCACAAGACCACCACCACCAGTCAGGCTGTGACTGAAACATCTGAGAGGTGAAGATGACACCTCAGTACGCTACTGTGTAAACAAAACGCGGTCAGAACCTTGATAACTGTAATGGAAATGGATTGAAGAGGAGAAATCATTTCAGACCGCTTCCTGTTCAACCCTAACCCACCAGGGAACATTTGTAACAAGAGAAAAAATGTGTTCCTATTTTAGATCTTATTTGTGTGTGTCCATGGGTGGTCCATGGGTGGTAAAAAAAAAAAAAATTAAAAACGTTGACGTTTCTTTACATATCTTGCTAGCCAGTGATGGGAAATCTACTAATTATCTGTTCTGTGGTTCCTGTAAGGCACAGATAATCCCACAGTTGGCGACGATACTGAGGTCACCTATAAAGGTAACATGCACTAGCTTGCAATCGGACGCTCTCGTACAGACAAGTGCTTGCCTTGCCCTCTTGTAAGAGCTGCGCCCCGGAGCTTCGTTAAACCTTAAATAACAACTTACAATAAACTCTTTTAAACAAACCACGTTGTTTATTTTCTGTTTTATTCTAAGGTATGACTGCTGACAAAATTGGCAAAACAATGTTTTTGACTGTGTGTTTTTTGTTAAAACATTTCTATTCCTTCAGGACAGAACCACCTGAAGAAGATTTGTGTTATGGCACTCAGACATCCAAACACGGCAGAAGATCTGTGACCCAGGGAGGTGGGTGCTCTCTCTCTCTCTCTCTCTCTCTCTCTGTCTTTCTCTTTCACTCTCACTCTCACTTTCACACACACACACACACACACACACACCGCCGGCAGCATGGCTGGTAGCTTGTGTACAGGATGGTTTCTGTCCATATTTGACTACAAAACAGAGAAATTCGTGGTCGCCAGAAACAAGAAGGTGGGCGTGCTGTACAGACTGATTCAGTTAACAGTCCTGGGCTACATTATAGGGTGAGTAAATACCAAGATATTTTAAGGATGGGGGGGGGGTACTGTAGTTAAGATTGAATATAACAATAGTTCATAAAATATTTTTTATAGCACGTCTTGGACCAAGTAAACACATCCACCGATCCTTCCAGATCAGGGAATGTGTTTAAAGTTTCCATGTGTTGATTTTATAACTTGTCTTGACTCGTCTGTACAGCGACATAGCAATGGTTGAACCGGCAGTTCAGTTAAAGCTCTTACTCACCCTATAAAAATTTAAACTGAGTGCTGGAGCCAGTGCCAAGGGTCAGCGGGCAAAGGTCTATGTTCCCTGGACGGGACGTGGGAGAATGTAGAATGCTGGTCCCAACAACTCATACAGTGGTTTGTACAGATAAATAAATAAATATTACCAGCGTTGTATCGGTATCGGTTGATATTGGAATCGGAAATTAAGTGTTGGGACAATATCGGCATATCGTCATCCCTAGTCATGGGTATTTAAGGCAGGTTTTCCATCTCTGCTGATGACTTGAACTGTATTTGGACAAATATTATATATAAACATTGAATGAGAATATTATTCAGACCCGTTTTCTACTTCCTCTCAGAGCTGCTCTCACACACAGGTGGGTTTTCATCAACAAAAAGGGCTACCAGGAGACGGACGAGTCCATCCAGAGCGCCGTCATTACCAAACTTAAAGGTGTCTCACTGACCAACACCTCTGAGTCCGGCGTGCTGGTGTGGGGACCGGAGGACTTTGTCGTTCCACCACAGGTCAGTTTAGTGTGAAAACAGCTGTAGCGCTGCTATGCTATGCTATGCTGCCTAGGCAATGAATGAAATGTGTGCTCATCATCTGGGAAGTAAAAATCTGAGCACGCGGGAAGTCTGGTTTTTAGTGAGATCGTTGCAATAATTTAATTTTTCATCGTGTTTTTCCACATGTAGGGTGAAGATGTTTTATTTATCGTTACCAATTTTTTAGAGACGCCAAATCAGACGCAAGGACACTGTGCGGAGGTAAGGTTGTTTATTTAAAAGTTAATGTTTTACTTTCATCTGTTTGTCCTTCAGTTGTTTGATAAATACCCGACCAGCTGCCCTGTGGCACAGAGTGAACGGTGTGGGCAGGAACAACAGGAAATGATGTAACGAAATGAACGACACAAATCAACTGTCCAAAAAAAATCACAATCTGACAAAAGGAAGACCGGGGCTTTGACTTTCCGCGTGTCGGCGTGTGTTTGTGTTTTACTCCGTCATAATCGCTGCCCACCGCTACATTCAGCAGCAAAATATTTCCGTAAGGTTCCTGGTATGTAAACTCTGCTCCTGGTTTCACTGCTTTTAGCCATGAAGAATGGCCTGAGTGAACAGTGAGCATGAAACCAGTCAACATCCCTGTGTGCTCTACAGTACCAGGCCCGTCTACCAATCACATTATGTCTCTGAAACATCCTAGGAAAAAGTAGTGGTGATGGAAGTATCGATTCCGTAGTATCGATGAATGAAAAAAGCTCATGTGTCACTTCCACATATTTAACGGTAACTACAAAACTGAACCGATCCATTCATGTCATACGACCACTGACCAGAAGAGGGCAGTGATGTGATCAAGTCCAATAGACATCTTGGTCCCTGAATGGTAGCATACGAACTGTTTAGGTTACTGTTATTAAATATTAAATATTCATGTTGTTAAATGGACAGTGACAGGATTTGTCATGTGTCTTATGGTATTGGAAGCATCGGAAAAATAATTGTCATAACGATAATTAGTATCATATTAATTTAAAACAATTCCGGTATCATTACTACACACTAGTGAATAGTGATGAAGTCAGATTTTCTCATATTGCCTTATTGTCTGGTTTTCAGAGTGCGAGGGTGCTGGACGGACACTGTGGAGAGGACAGAGACTGTGAAGCGGGGACGGCGGTGGTGGCTGGTCATGGTACGAAAAATATACAGGAACAATCAGGACAGCAGTAAACAACAAACAAAGACGAGTTAGTGAAGTTACGGGCTGTAAATACCAGACTCAGACTCAGAGATTCCTGGTAACCTCACTGCATACTGTTTTTGTCATGAATGAAAATCCAGTGATCAATGACAAAACGTCCAAAACCAGTGCAGCAAATCAACTGTTTCAACCACTGACAACGCAGTCACCGTTCACTCTGTTGTCTTTCTGCAGGAATAAAAAGCGGACGCTGCATAAAAACAGACCCAAACTCCACGGGCACCTGCGAAATCTACGGCTGGTGTCCAATTGAAAGACATTTCAAACCAAAGTAAAATGACATGATATTAACACCTGACTGTTAACCAGCCGTTTAACCGACGCTTTAAATCAGTGATTCTCAAACACTGTGCCGTGGCCCACTGGTGTCACTAGTTCGTAAATGTGTGACAGGCAGATCAATTAAATCCTCTTCTGCTAGGTGGCACCCTCACTGGTTCGTTAATGTGTGACAGGCAGATCAATTAAAACAAAAACAAAAAAAACATAATCAAAGCTGTTGAAGAAGATCGTGAGATTGTGAGTGTCTTTCTTCAATTCCTGCCATTACATCAGCATTGTCTTCAACTAAACAGGCTGAGATTGTAGAGGTCAATTGTGAGGTCATTTAAACTAGAAGATTATTATATTTCATAACAACTACTTTTCGAGAGATTTTTGTTTGGTGGTGTGCCGTGGCGTTTTTCCTGATGATATATATAGTTGGTTGGGAACCACTGGTGTAAATGCTCTAAGTCACACATGCAGTTAATGGCGTTCAGCTATTTGTCAAAACCATATGTTATTTTTAAAGAATTTACCCAGATGAACATTCCTTTGTCAGCCATTGAAATGCAAATTCTGTCACTCGACAGAGAAAAAAACTTCATATCATAAAGTAAGAGATCTTTTTTTTTTTAAAAAAAAGTTGAATTTTTCAGCCCTGCTCTGCTGTTTCTTCTCAAAAGACAACCTTTGCTGAAAAATGCTGAAAACTTCACCATCTACATCAAGAACTTCATCCAATTCCCCAAATTCAAATTTTCAAAGTAAGTCCTCGAAACTCACTCACCCCACCTTGTGGCCAGGAGGAAGCGATGCGTCTCATCAACTCTTTCTACTACTCTCTCAGGTCAAACGTTCTGGAAACAAGTGATGAATTCTACTTGAAGAGGTGCCGATACGATGAAGAAGTCCACCCATACTGCCCCATCTTCCGCCTGGGCGACATCACCCAGAGAGCCGGCTACAAGTTCCAGGACATGGACACGTTGGTTAGTACCACCACTTCCTGCAGCCATTCACATGAAGTCTTATTATTACACAGCAAGAACCAACAAAACGCAGTGTTTCTCAACCTTGGGGTCACAACATCTCGTGAGGTCACATGGAATTCAAATATGATCACCTGAAAATTCTAGTAATTGACAAAAACAGAAAAGAAAAACAAATTCTTATTCTTCAGTTGTGATGCGGCCATTTCGGATTTCGGAAGTTAGTTATTATTATTTTTTATAACGAGAACTAAAAACACCGAACCATCTTAAATAACAAAAATAAAATTTAGCGTATGATTATATCGGATTGACAGCTACGATCTCGTGACTGCACAAGTGACAGATACTTGAGTTCCTTTGAGTAGCTACTTCGTACACTCACCTGGCTACTCTGTAACGCAGTATAACAAATATGGTGAAAAACAAACTCTAGAAAAATAAAGTCTCGGGAGTCGCCAGAAATTTGTGAATTTGTCAAAATGGGATCACAAGCCGAAAACGGTCGGGAACTGATAACATGTTACACAATAAGCAGTGAAATCAAATGCTAGAAGTTCATCCTGATAAGATACGATTTCTTTTTCCAGGGAGGCTGTATTAGTATCATGATCGACTGGATCTGTGACCTGGACAAAGGCTACGATCACTGTAACCCGCGATACTTCTTCACTCGTCTGGACACCAGCGGCTCCAACAGAACCGCTGCAAAGGGATTTAACTTCAGGTGAGCGAACGTCGTTGACGGTGTCATACATTCGATTGATCGTCGGAGGAGTTTGATTGTCCAGATTTTGTGACCCAACAGACACAGCCGCTATTTCAAAACCGCTGCTGGTGAAAGCTACAGGTCTCTGTACAAGGTTTACGGTGTTCGATTCAACATCATGGTTCATGGAAAGGTATCGTTTATAAAATATATTTTTTTGATACAATTACAAGTATATACGGTGGTTCCTCATCTATCGCGGGGGTTACTTTCTAAGACCGCCCACGATAGGCGAAAAACCACGAAGTAGACAGGCGATAGTTATTCTATCATTTTTTTAACCCTTTACCGATGAACTGATGGCTCAACAGTCGAACCGCGATACAGCGAGGCACGACTATAATATCTATTTATGTGTTTTTTTGTGTGCGTCATCTCTGTTGTCGTTCCTAGGCCGGTAAGTTTAACATCATTCCGACAGTGGTCAACGCAGCCTCAGGACTGGCTGTAATGGGTGCTGTAAGTACCGTCAGTGATACGGTTGTCATTGTATTATTGTATTTTCTTCTGCTAAAAACAACAACTGTGTCCAAACCACTCATCGAACAGGGCGCCTTCTTCTGTGATATGGTTCTTCTCTACCTGATGAAGAAGGGCAGCTCCTACAGAGAGCGGAAGTACGAGGCGATAAGGTACAGACATGTCCGACACAACGAACAGTCAGTGACGATTAACTGACACTGTTGTCAGCTGTTCGTTGACGTCTACCTACTGTAGCTGCTGACAAAGAACCACTTAACTCACAGGTGTCAAACTCAGGCCCGCAGGCCAAATCGGGCCCATGCTGTAATTATATTTGGCCCACGAGATCAGTTTACGCAAAACTTGTTTCCATATGAAAAAAAATTACATTACAGATTTGGAGAGAAAGGGAAAACATGAACAATTCCAGTCCATTTTTTAAATAAATATTAAGTTTGGCTTCAGACTTCATCGCAGTTTTTTTTTGTCCCACTGTGTCTGACACTGTAAAGTTTAGTTTCCTTCATTCACACTTTTCTTAAATAAAACTTAATGAAGTCGAAGAAAAACAGGCAACAGAAGAAAAAAACACAAAGGCAGAAATAATATCCTCGGTAAAAGCAATGGAACAAAGACGGACGTAAGACGAGACGTAGAACTATCAACAATCAACTGACACGAAAATAAGCAGCAGACTAGAGAATGGACTGACACGTGATACCAAAACCGGTCACCAGGGGAACAATAAACAGGAAAAACTAGGGAAAAAACACCCAACAATCAATCAGCTCTGAAAATGAAGACGTTCGTACAAACCTACTGTCAGCTTCAACTGACGGCTGTCAACAATCTGATCAGTTTTATCTTCTGTGGACACAGATGTCGGAAGTCTTCATCACTGAATGATGATGATGATGATGATGATGAGAAGAAGAACAGGACGGCTGCTTCGTGCTCTGTACAGAAGACTCCTGAGGGGGAGACACAGACCGTTTGAATGTTTGACTTAGTTGTGTTCACTGTTGAAATAAAAAATATGTTTTTTTTTTAAAAAAAGTTACTTTGGTTTTGGTTTTGGTTGAGATGGTTTGGACATGTGTAAAAAAAAGTTACTTTGGTTTTGTTTTTGTTTTTTTTCAAATCTGCTCAATGACGAACAAAATGTAGGAAAATAAAGATAGTTCCCAAATAGGCCTGTACATGTCCGTAGAGAACAACTAAATACACTGGCTGATCAACAGTACAAGAGTCACTGGAAGCGAGAACAGTGAAATGGTGAGGTTAAGAAGAGTGTCCGCTAAGGTGAAGGGAAAGGTTTACAGGACGGTGGTGAGACCAGCCATGATGTATGGTTTAGAGACAGTAGCAATAGGCAGAAGACAGGAGGCGGAGCTGGAGGTGGAGCTGGAGGTGACAGAGTTAAAGATGCTAAGATTCTCTTTAGGAGTGACAAGAATGGACAGGATCAGGAATGAGGTCATTAGAGGAACAACACAGACAGGAAGGTTAGGAGAAAAAGACAGAGAAGCCAGATTGAGATGGTTTGGACATGTGCAGTTTCAAGGTCCACAGAGGCCTTTCATCACTCACTACTACGGAATTGTAATGTTAAGTCGTGTGCTGGTCGTCCCTTGTTCTATCGCGGTTTGGGTGTCACTGAACATCGCAGGTTTTTAATTTTTTAAATGTGGTCTTGCATTGCAGATTTTTTGCTTCATGCATTTTCATTATTTTCGTGATCAAACAAGCATTTTCAAGCATAAGAAAAAAACTGTAAAAAAATAGAAAAGAAATGTGTTAAAATACATTTTGTAACACATACATACAAGGTATTGCAAGAAATAATCTGTACGTATGGGTTAACTAGATGTGCAAAAGTTTTTTGCCATATTTCACGCCCTACGATGCCTCCTAAAAGGTTAGTAAAGGGTTAATATTTACGTAAATAACATAATAACTATCGCGTCTCTACTTTTGCGGTTTTTCGACTATCGCGGCCGAGCGTAACCCCCCTGCGACAGACGAGGGACCACTGTGTTGTGCTTCATGTGGTCCATGTTCGTACCCATAAAACCCAGTTACCGTTGCTCACCATTTCACTGACAAAGGTTGGTGTGAAGAAGAGTTGTCTTCAAATAAAGCACATTTTCAGGGTGGAGTTCATGATTGGCTGAGCATCGCCAACTGTGACAATGAAAACAGTGACAACTGTTTGAAAACAGTAGGAATATGTAGAGAATAAACCAATAAGGGGCCAATCAGTGAACCCTGAGGGACACCTTCAGAACCTGAATCTCTAGGAGACCCCTGATCTAGAGAGTTCTCTTAGTAGATATGTTTAAATATCAAAAAAAAAAAAAAAAAAGACATTTGTGGCTATTTATTGTTGTTGTTTTTGCACCGTTATCTGCCTCAAATATTAATATAGTTTAATTTAAACTCAGGTTTACGTTGTCTTAGAACTGTTTTGTTATTATTTGCATTACGCAAAAAAAAAAAAAACAACAACAAAGTGACAGCCTGAAATTAATTCAATTAAAAAAATTCAAATTAATTATATATCTAGGTGAAAACAAACAAACGGGGTGTGTTTACGGCTGGGATGCAGCGTGTGTTCGTCCTTATAAAACGTACCTCGATCAGAGGGTTGTTAACAAACCATTCACCACCATGAAGATCCTGCTCCTCTCAGTGCTGGTCCTGCTGGTGTGCAGCCATCAAGGTGAGGTATAGTCAACCACTGGGTGAGGTTGGAGGGAGAAAGACGAAAGACGATTCTGTAAAAGACAAGATAAATAAACTGTAGTTCAGTGATTTTCAAATGTTGATATTTTAACATTTCTTGTTGTCTTGGGTCCTCAGTGCTGTCCCTCAGGTGCCTGAATAGTGCCTGAACGAGGACGACCAAGATGACATGCCATCCATAGAATGTGCAGCAAGTGACAACTTCTGCAAATTTGATTTCACAAGTAAAGACGCACTGAGATTCTTCTGATCTTCTTGATTCGTTGGACTCTCACAGTTGTTTACGTTTATCTCTGTTCATTTTTTTATTTACAGGCGGAGAGCTTGTCATTTCTTGTGCAGAGAGTTGTGTCCCCGGGGATGTGGTCGGCTGCTGTAACACGGACAACTGTGAGGCCGAACTTCCCGAAGACGAGGTTAACGACGATGAACAGTGAGACGATATCGCGGTTCTCACGTTTACTCTGAAAGTTCAATCACCGCCACGACGGGAAAATGAATAATAGAAGCAATAATTCTTCTCATGACGTCGATGATTTGTTTGATTCGTTCACCAAACTTCACGTCGATTTTGTCTTCTACTTATAAAATCTGAATGAAATTAAAACAAGAATTACGATCTAATCCTTTTGGCTGATTCGTAGTTTTTTGTTGTTGTTGGTCTTTGAGGAAAAAAAGATCTACATTAAATAGGAACTGGAAAGGCTACAGATAAAGAGACATAATAAGAAACAATTACCACAGATGTGTGTTTTATTTTTTAAATTTAATTTCTCATGTGTTTATTATTTTAACCTTTAGTTGTTCCAGATTCAAACTTGGAACAAAAAAATGGAACACTTCAAGAATTTAATAAAAAAAGCCTTATTTTATCAAATAAGACTTGAAGAAAATCACGAAGGCAGAAATAATATCCTCGGTAAAAGAAATGGAACAAAAACGGACGGAAGACGAGACGTAACAGAACTGTTGACCGTTAAGTGTTTACTGTAGCTCTGGTCACCGGTGTCTTTACGTTTCCCGCTGAAATAGAAAGAAGAAACATTTGAGCTTCAGAGAAATTGTTAGTCGCAGTTTGTCGTTCTTTTATTTAATAATTATAACATTATAATAATTGTTTTGCACTAGAGAAGAAGAGGAATGAAAGTCAATCGTAGCAATAACGGTGAAATGGTGAAGCTACAAGGAGCAGAGGTGGTGAAGGTGGAGGAGTTCAATATTTACGTAAATAACATAATAACTATCGCGTCTCTACTTTTGCGGTTTTTCGACTATCGCGAGCGAGTGTAACCCCCCTGCGACAGACGAGGGACCACTGTGTTGTGCTTCATGTGGTCCATGTTCGTACCCATAAAACCCAGTTACCGTTCCTCACCGTTTCACTGACAAAGGCTGGTGTGAAGAAGAGTTGTCTTCGAAATAAATCACATTTTCAGGGTGGAGTTCCTGATTGGCTGAGCATCGCAAACTGTGACAACAACTATGTCTAGTGTTTGAAAACAGTGGGAATATGTAGAGAATAAACCAATAAGGGGCCAATCAGTGAACCCTGAGGGACACCTTCAGAACCTGAAGCTGTAGAGAATGTAGATCAAACATTCGTTTCTGTTGGTACAGCGATAGAAATGGAAGAAGAAGAAAAAAGAATCGAGTCTTTGAAGGAGGACGGTGAGGTCGTATTTATACACAGAACAGCAAATCAACTGAACCCAGAGCTTTAGTTGGGTTTTAGTAGCCAGAAGGTGTTAGCAGTTTAAAGTGCATTTGTTAGAGTGTCTATACTATTGTCTGTCCTGGAACTGATTATTGTTTCATTGTTCAGGAAACCCAGGTTTGCGTTGTCTTAGAACTCTTTTGTTATTATCTAATTTAAACTGGACTGAACACGGCACCACCTGTTTACGGTAAATTCTAATTATTATTTCTTTTGAAATCATTTTTGTTTTCCTCCAAGGAAGAGTTGCGTCTCACAGGTTAGACCAGCAGAACCAGACTGACCAGGTCCTGAGAGCATAACGCAAAGAAAAAAAAAATGACAGCCTGAAATTAATAAATTATAAATGAATATATATATATATACTATTTCAAATTAATTAAATTTACCAGGTAAAAAAACCCAGAGATCTTTAATAATGCTGTTGACAATATGCGTCAAAAATAAGAGAGGAGGAACCGAAACACGAGCGTAGTTTTAAAAATAAAGCCGATTAAATCTCTCCGGTTTCTCAGGTGTTGTCGTTCTCACGGACAAATATGCTACAAGGAAACTTTCAGTTTACTGGAAGAAAACACCAGGGGGTGTGTTTACGGCTGGAATGCAGCCTGTGTTCGTCCTTATAAAAGGTACCTCGAGTCAGAGGTTTGTTAACAAACCATTCATCACCATGAAGATCCTGCTCCTCTCAGTGCTGGTCCTGCTGGTGTGCAGCCATCAAGGTGAGGTATAGTCAACCACTGGGTGAGGTTGGAGGGAGAGTTGGGGGGAGAAAGACGAAAGACGATTCTGTAAAAGACAAGATAAAAAAAACTTTAGTTCAGTGATTTTCAAATGTTGATATTTTAACATTTCTTGTTGTCTTGGGTCCTCAGTGCTGTCCCTCAGGTGCCTGAATCAGGACGATGGAGATGAGAAGTCATCCATAGAATGTGCAGCAAGTGACAACTTCTGCAAATTTGATTTCACAAGTAAAGACGCACTAAGATTCCTCTGATCTTCTTGATTCGTTGGACTCTCACAGTTGTTTACGTTTATCTCTGTTCATTTTTTTATTTACAGGCGGAGAGCTTGTCATTTCTTGTGAGGAAACATGTGACTCCGGAGATGTGGTCGGCTGCTGTAACACGGACAACTGTGAGCCCGAACTTGATGAAGACGATGATGGACAGTGAGAAGATATCGCGGTTCTCACGTTTACTCTGAAAATTCAATCAAATGAACAGCAATAATTCTTCTCATGACGTCGATGATTTGTTTGATTCGTTCACCAAACTTCACTGTGACTGTCGTCATCATCGTATCACTGTGACTGTCCTGTCTTTGATTTGTCTTCTGCTTGTAAAATCTGAAAGAAATTAAAACAAAAATTATGACCTAATCGTCTTGGCTGATTCGTATTTGTCAAAAACAACACTACACAAAAAACTTTGATCGTTACTTTTTCTCAGCTGTTACTGGTATTCTGGTTAGAACACACTATACAAACTCAAGGCCTGTGGGCCAAATGTGGCCCACAAAGTCATATGGTGTGGTCCACGGTCGCTTAAAAAGTGTTTCATTAGCTTTATTATTATTAGCTTAATTTTTTTTATACACAGAACAATTCACAATGTTTGTAATTTGAATAAATAATAACACGTATTACTACGTTATAGAGTAGTTACAGCTGTACAGTCTTATCGCCGCCTTGTTTTTTTTTTCTTCCGAACTGAGAGAACATTTGTCACGTGAAGGTGCTTTCAGTCGTCACACCTGCTGTCCCGGCTCCAAAGAAGGAATTCTCTGATGGAAACTGAAGTATTAAGACTCAAATATGTAGAAGAATATTCTCCCTAGATCTATAGTTGTTTATTTTTATTTTTTTATCTACAGATACGTTTTCTTCAGCTTGTCTCAGAACTTTTCACGCCTGACCAGTCCACAGCTCACGTAGAAGAATATTCTCCCTAGATCTTTAGTTGTTTATTTTATTTTTTTTTTACAGATACGTTTTCTTCAGTTTGTCTCAGAAATTTTCACGCCTGACCAGTCCACAGCTCATGCCGTTGTTTGTCTGATGAAGAGAATGTTCAGGTCAGGAATTTGATCTGTGACGTTCAACGTTTTTGTCGTGCGGAGGATTAGCAGATTGAATGAGAGGATGGACGACCGTGGGGAAAACCCATGGGTGTTGTCCTCCTGTGATTGACAGCTGTACAGTCTCAACAACAACAGAGAGAAAGCACCGCTGGCACAAGTTATACATAGTTTTAGTTATTAGTTTCAAAAAGCTGTCAAAAAGTTGTTTTCCCCTACGACAGACGAGCAAAACGGACTGGAAACTCACAGATTACGGGAATAAAGTAGTGATGTCAGACCTTGACCTTGACCTTGTCACCTTGTCATGTCATCACTGAGTCTCTGAGTGAGAAGATGTTTTTACTAGGGATGTCCAATGTTAACTGTTTGACGATATACTGTAAAAAAAATGCCATTATTTTCCAAACACTTAAAATCAATCGATAGCGATATATCAGAGAAGTGGTGCCCTGGTGGTTAAGGAAGTTAAATGCAGTCTGCTCACTAAGGTGATGGGTTAAAGCAGTGTTTCACAACTATTTTCTGACATACTCCCCCTAGTGGTCAGAAGATTTTTTCACCCCCCCATATGAGTTGCTGGCAGCAGGATTCTGCCTACAATCCCCTGATTATCAAACTAGATTAATAAAATGAGCTGCAATGCTGCCCCCTAGTGACTTGTCACTTTCACATATACACCCGTTTTTTTCTCCAAAACTATTTTTAAGTCACACATTATTTGGCGATAACTCAGGCACACTGCATTATCGGGTTGTCATTATTGGAGGGGAAAAAAAAATTAACGATAACGAATCTCACAGAATTGGCTTAAATGTTGAATCCATTTTGACCGATTTTTAGAAAGGACAGAATATCCAGTCACCAACGTGAAAATATGGGTCGCACGTGTTAATCTGTTCGTCTGTTGGTTCCCAGTCCCAGGACCACGGAGTCGGTCCAAGGCTGATGGATTAACCTTCTGCACTTGATGTGACCTTAGACTTTTACACGTGTCGCGGTTTGGTAAAAATTTAGTTTTGAAAAAAGAAATCTTCTGATGTTTAAAGACGGTTTAGAAGAATCCCAGGTAACAACAGGATTCTGAGGTTCAGCCGTGAAATTCCTCCATTTCCCAAAGATTTAAAATGAAAAAAAGAGCACAACGGTCGGCCACAGCTGCACTGCTGCAAACAAACAATTATATACTGTACAAACAACCGTTCTAATCTGCGGTTCCTCTGACGGCCAACGGGGGCTTTGTTTTTAAGAGTCCCTTCCACATCAGCTGCTGGAGAAATGGTGGTCCATCTATTGGATTAGTGAAGGGATTTCAGGGTGGTATTAATCTGAGAGGACAGCAGGCGACCCAGGCTAAGCTGAGCTGCCCTCACCCTCTCTCTCTCTCTCTCTCTCTCTGTCTCTCTCTCAGCCTGTGGCAGCCACGGATCACTGTCTCGCCTGCAGCAGGAACAGCAGCGTGGACTGAACCAGATTCTGTCGCCGACATGAACCTGTTCTGCTTTTCTCTGGTAGGAAACTCACTCTTTCTTCTTCCTGCCTAACAAGGGGATTTTTTTAAAACAGTGCAGGGAAGTACAGAGCTGAGATTTGCCCCGAGGACAGGGGGCAGCACCTGTGTTTACTAGTCTTTAGATCATTAACCTGCTGCTTTTACTGGCTGATCATTAATGATCACTTGGTGTTTTTACTTCTTTGTCACAAACCTGTGTCAAAAACTAGTTAAAGAGAGAGAGAGAGTGTGTGTGTGTGTGTGTGTCACAGCACCAACAGAAATATGTGACCTTGTTTCTGTGTTGTTGTTTGGAACAGACTTTTTAAAAAAATATATTTTTATTACCTTTACGCTTTACAAAAATCTTTTAGGGTTTTCACAGGAATAAATCAAAACACGAACCAAAAACACAGAAAAATAATTAATTAAATACATTTAAAAGTATGAATTTTTAAAGCTAATAACAAACAAACCAAAAATGGAACAGGTTAGTTAGAGTTTAGAAAATATGAAACAACATTATTGAAAATAAAAAGACTCCAGTCAACACCGGAAATGGAAACTGCACAAAAATTAGTGACCAAATTGCTTAAAATTAGAGAAAAATATTTTAAGTATTTTCCAAAATACTTAAAATATAAAATGTGTCTATAAAAAACCTTGAAGTAAAATATTTGCAATTTACTCATTTATACTTTGAAAAGGTCAAGAAGAAAGTCACAGGTTTGGAACTGGTGCTAACTTTTCAATCAAGTTGATGATAAATAAAAAAACGTTTAAAATAATCAAATTGTCTTTAAACGTTTTGTCAGAGGAGCAAGAGGAATTCTAATCTTGGCCTCATAAATCGATAAATCATAAATCTGGTTTTCATTCCGACATTCCACAGATAGGAGGAAATGGACGAGAGAAAATTCCCTGTTGTCTGAGCGTGAGCAACAATTTTTAATTTGAAACTTTTTAATTAAAAACCTGTGCAGCAGACGTCACAGCAGAATCTGTTGTTGACTGCGGTGACAAGTTCATCTTCCAAAACCCAGTAGTGGGCAGTGTTGTAACTAAATAACTCCGCCAGGCCACCCAATAATGAAAAGCCGATAACGCAATCACTGGGTTTCGTCAAATGACGTGTGACCTAAAAATTAGTTTTGGGGGAAAACGACTGTATGTGAAAGGAAACGCCACTAGATGGCAGAATTGCAGCTCATTTTGTTTTGTTTGTTTGTTTAACCTAAACCTTTTACGTCGTCACGCTGCAGGAACTCTGTGTTTTTATTTTAAAAAATGTTGCCACTTCACTGCAGCTAAAAGTCTTTAAATGTGTGTCTGCTCCAAGGAGGGATCCACAGACAGCCTGTATGAGGCAGTAAAGAGCTGCGGCGAGGACCCCCCCAGGCCGGTCCCCAGCCGCTCCTGCAGCCGCTCCTGCAGCCGCTCCTCGGCCCTCCTATTGGACAACAACACCAAGAGCAGAGGTTCTAGGAGATCGATATCAATGGTGAGAGAACCCACTGTCAGAACCGGCACCACTGACCCAACTGTCGAAGAAACATTTTTCTTTAAATACGAATTATTTAAAGAGAAACTATAAAATAAATAAAATTGTTACTTCCGTTGTTTTTCGTCAATTACGCGTTTGTAAATCTGTTTGTTTGTTTGTCTTCCCCTCCAGGAGATGCCTCAGACTCAGAGGAACAACTCTAGTAAAAAGAAAAGACGGTGAGCTCACGGGAAATGTAATACTGTACTACTGATACTGTAATATTACTGCAGTAGTACCTGCATATATTCATCCATGTATCTCTGTATTTCATCAGTTTTATTTACTTTAGAAATCAGATATTTAAAAAAGATCTCTTTATATTTCAGAACACATTTATCCAAATCTGCATCAGATAATGAAGCTCTGGGTGAGTACTTTCAATAAAACGATAATATTATTGTTTCAAACTTCTGGTCCGGGGAGCTCTTCTGGTCCGTGTCTATATGTCAATAATCATTTAATTTTGCCTGAAAATGCTTCAGTTGATCACTAAAAAAAAATCAAAAAGAAAAAAAAAATTGAATGGCTGTCACCGTCTTATCTGATGGACTGTTGTGTCTTCCACCTCAGACAACTCCTGCTGTAATCACACAGGCCTGCAGGGGGCCGCGAGCCGAGCAGACTTCGTCTACAGCAGCGGTCAAACGGGAGGTAAAGACGGAGCGGAACCGATCAGTCGGAGAACGGGGGCTTCCAACAAACACAACCATCATGGTCAGTTTGATATCCTGTCTTTACCTCCAGAGCCGAGGAAGTCCAAGCCCAGAGCAGACTCCAAACGAGGCAGAGGATTCCATCCCTCCAGCACCAAGAAGAAGGAGAAACCACCGTCCACCCAGGTCTGTTTTATATGATATTATATTATAATATTCTTGGCTGCACGGACACAACCATGTTTTTTCCTATTCTTCACCAGTGTGCCAACGTCAAAGGATCAACGGCAGAATCTAAACCTGCAGCCAAAAGAATCCAAAAGTCTGGAAATAAACACGCTGAGAAAAATGGGAAGGAAGGATCGAGGAAAAGTCACAAGTCCACAGTCAAGACAGGTGCGAGATTTTCCTAAGAAAAAAAAAATAAGAAAAAAATATACAGTATATGTCGCGGATAATATATACGTGAGCACCCCTAGTGGCGAAGTTTACCTGACTTTACAGATCACGTAGGCTTCAGTCACCAATTAATCCAACATGGCCGCCTCACAGCTCCAGATATAAATGTTTGATAAAATGAAGTCTTTGATTTGTTTTTATGAAAATAACAATTCAATATTTTTTTAGTGACTGGACAGCAGCTACATCACAAGGAATTTTTTTTTTTAATTTTGCCAAAATTAAAGTCTCATCTTAAATAATGTCTCTTTGATCATTTTTCGTTAAAACATTTTTTTTATCTTGTGTTTGTAAATGGTGCCTTAGTTGAAACAATATTTATCTCAATTTTTATTTTTTAACCCTGACCAACAATTTTTTCTTTTTTTAATCTTGTGTTTGTAAATGGTTTATTTTTTAACCCTGACCAACAATTTTTTTTTTCTGTCTCAGTGAACTCCCCGTGCCCCCCCCTGAGCCCATCCCTGGAGCCCAACTTCCTGGAAGTGCCTCACAGATCAGAAGTGAGATTCTCCACCCTGCCCACGCAGGAACACACAGCCTCCAGCCGCAGCGTGGACTCGGTCCACTTACCCGGCGGAGCCACGCCCACCCACACGTACCACCAGCGCTGGAGTAACCTCGGGGAGGGCAGCCCCTCCTGGGGCACCGTACAGCACACCTGCCGCAGACCGCTGACGGAATATCACCTGTACTCCCAAGACTTCAGCACGTCAACACCAGGTCACCGCGACCAGGTCCACCAGACCTGCACGGTGACCCGGTCCATCACTGAGGTGGATCTGTCAGAACCAAACGTAAGTCCTAACGCCACACTGATACAGTTCATGCTGTAGGGTAGCGGTTTTCAACCTTGGGGTCGCGACCCCACAAGGGGACATTTGGGATTAAAATGGGGTCGCCTAGAAATTGATATAAAAAAAATTGCTGTTAAAAATATTTTTTTAACTAATTATTATTCTTTTAAAATTTATGACTAAAAACACCAAATACACTCATTTTAATGAATATAAATTCAAATAAAATTCAGCATATAGAAATATCTGAACTGGTGCATCTTCCTTTGAGTACTTCATGTACTACTCTGTATTTGCAACATAGTAAAACAAACGTGATCACAAAGTTATTTGAGAAAACATTTCTGGGGGTTGCCAGAAATGAGTGATGTCAACATGAGGTCAGAAGCCAAAAAAAAGTTGCAACAGGATTTTCTAGTTTGAAGTTTGGGTTTTCCTGATACAAGTCCTGCTGCCCCTGCTGGCAAACAGTAGCACTGCAGCCACAGTGACACATTTCAAGGTGACTCATAAAAAGTGAGTGGAGTCTCTGAATGAATCACTTCTCGATCACGCGTGACCGAGTACGACGGGTTCAGAGGTCGTCTACTAATACCACACGACAGCAGAGCCGTGTGACCTCAGAGGTCGGGGCCTTGGCATGCACTGGACGGCAGCAGATATTACTGATACTGATTATTTAGTCAGAGATGACGGGGATGATCCAGAGATTAGAAGATCCTCAGTGATCCATAGTGTCATTGGTTCTTGGATAGAACTGTCATCTGAGTGAACGTGAAGAAGCCGTAAAACGTGTGGTCTGAGGTTAAAGGTTAAGACCCTCTTCCTGGTCCCTCATCACGACATGTAAGGCTAAAAAAAAAAAAAGCCGCTTTTTCCTTGTTCTCCTCTCAGAATGACGGCGTAGATTTCAGTCCTAATATGACTAAAAAAAATCTATTTTCTGCTAAATGACAACTTCTAAAGGAACAGTATGAGTGTGGGGTCAGAGGTCAGGTGACTTCTGTGAAGTCGAGTTTCTCGGACTGTACAGGTAGAAAAAGGCCCTGGAGCCGTAGATTAAAGGCTGTAATCAGGATTGACAGGATTTGACTGTTGATTGCTGGCGCTGGGATTAGTCAATGGAATTGTCAGTAGAATTCCCTTTTCAACATCAGCAGCAAATCCCTTCACGGAGAAGTCAAACATTCAGAGAGTTCAAATTCAAATTCAACAAATGTTTGACTTTTGAAAAAAAAAATACAGTGTTCCCTCTTTATATTGAGGTTCTTCTTTCGCTCCCTCATTTTGTTTTTTATATGGAAACTCCCATTTTGCGTTGGATCTCGGAACGCAACTACAGCGAAAGGAGAGGAGATCACTGTATTTGAACTTTAATAATCCCAGTTTGGGAAATTCCAGTGTTAACAGCAGATCCGTTGTTAACAGACTGCCCCCAGCAGGCAACAAGCATGTGGTTCATCTGGGAATCAAACCCAGAACTCTCTCTCTGCTCTCTGCTTCCGCTAACCGCATCGCTATAGAACAGACTAGCCAAAAAAAAAAAAAAGACAACCAAAAAAACAAAAAAACAAATCAAACAACAGACAGAGTTCAGTGTGAAGTGAGTTGAACAGGAACGTTTTGCGACATAACAAAGTTGCCACTTTCAGCTGTTGCTGTCAAACATCAGCACTTCCTCAAAGCCACTGGGCCCAGATGTAGAAACACACGAACTGCAAAGATTTCTCCAGCAACTTCCACCAAAACAAACATGTTCCCTGCTGTGAAATAATTGAATTTCTGACGCAGGTACATTTAAATATTCATCTCCTGTTTGTATGTTTTTTTATATATATATTTTCGACGATCAAATGTCTGTGGGTTTTACCGAAACTCTTTGTGACTCACGTCAGCGGTTTTTAAAACTGAGTTGTTTTAATTTACACATCGGTTCCACAACCTTCACCAAGGCCATAAAAATAAAAGAGAAAAACAAACCCCCAAACCCACAGATGTTACCCACGTTTGGAGGTGTTTGCTGCACATTCGATTCCTGGAAAGGAATATTGACGTCTCAGTAGAAGAGGCTTCAAAAATGCAAACTTAAGCATTTTTTTTTCCCCCTTCAAAATAGCAGAGCCACAAGGCGCTCAGTGACAATTGCCTCATATCCTGTTTGATGAGGGGAAGTAACAACACGGTCAGGACATTAGACTAGCAGCTGGAGTGTTAGTTAACGCCTCACTGTCAGAGGAGACCGGTAAAGAAACAAGAAGAGTCCGGACGGAAATTTAATCAAAAGATTTTTTTTTAAATAATCAAAAATGTTAAACAGAGCAGCATCCAATGCCTCAGGGAAAGTAAAGAGCAAACCAAAGGTAGGTAATTGTATGTATAGTTATATATATATATATATATATATATATATACATATATATATATATATATATAAATGAAATCAATCCAGCTGAGGACTGTCTACTTTCAGGATGTTGTTTTTATTTTAGTTTCCCTTTGTGGAGATGATGGTCGGGGGTTTGGGAGCGATTATATTGAATTTACATGAAAGAAAAATATGAAGGGGGAGAAGAGGAGGTTTTTTGTTTCTCCACTTTACTCTATTGATTTTTTTTTTTTTTTTAGAGGTTTTTTGTTTCTCCACTTTTCTCTATTGATTTTTTTTTTTACATAACTGCTGGTATTAGTGCAGTTCTCTCTATCACTGATCATTTCCCTGGATGTGTTGTAACTAGGGATGTCCGATAATATCGGCCGGTCGATATTATCGGACACGCCTAGCTGTAGCCATGCTGTAACTAACGGTGACCGTTGTCTCTTTGTTCCGTTCGGCCCACAGCGCTCCACCAGCTTCGGCAGGTTCGAAGGCCTGAGACACCAGTCGACACAGGACCGACACAAACCGGAGGACAACGGCACGAATGTGGTGAGTAGATTTTATTTTATATTTATTATTTCACTTTTCATTTTTCTCACTCATTATCACAAGAACTGGTACGGACGATAAGTTCTCTGCTTTGTATTGACTTTTATACAAACAGCTCACGGAAGACTGCGAAAGTTCCGACGCGAACAACAAATCTTCAGCGCTCGGGAAGAAGATGAAGGCGATCTCTCTGACCATGTGCAGGAAAATGGGAAAGAAGCAGGCGAAGTCCATGTCAGAAGAGACGGTGAGTGGCGAGGACACGGACACGGACACGGACACCGTCGGTTACCGCGGTTCGGTGATTCTCATCACAGAGTCCGCGACCTACTTTGTTTTTCTGCGGAGTCTAATCTGTTGCATCACTCACGAACCACATCCTCACTCTGCAGCTGTAGCAGGGGAAAACCTAAATTAAAATGTCACCAACACAGGAAACTTCAAAATTTGCAAAATCGTCTATTATTGAAACGGAGATAACGGTCGTTGTTTACATATCGATGAAGCTCCTGCTGCACCTGCGTTTCACGTCACCTGACGTTTCTATTTATGATCCATTCGTTCACACTTTCTCCATTGAACAGCTGAGCAACAGCCGATAATCTGAGACACGACTTTATATACAATACAGCAAATGTAACAAAATTGCAAAGAAATGTTCATGACGTCTTGTTTTTTGTTTTTTTAACTTCCTGTTTGGAACGACTGATGAAACAGACAAAGACGCCGAGGTACAGACGGAGAACAACCCCCCCACTGAGACAAAGACCGCAAAGACCAGTAACTCTCTGGAAAGTGTGTTCAGCGGACAGAGCACCTCCAGTGAGTGGAACATCAGAACATCAGAACATCAGACAACAGCAGGACCTCGTGACGACGTCCTGTTAAATGCTATCGTATATCGCCTCGACCGCTCGCGATATGCGACAAACCGCGAAGTAGAGGCGCGATATTTACGCATATATTAACCCTTTACGAACCTTTTAGGAGGCATCGTACGGCATGAAATATGGCAAAAACTTTCACAAATCTCCTTTTACTCGTACATACAGGTTATTTCTTGCAATATACTGTGTTACAAAATGTCTTTAATTTATTATTTTACTCGTAGGTTATTGCTTGCTATATCCTGTGTTACAAAATGTCTTTAATTTATTTTATTTACTATTTTTTTAGGCTGGAAAATGCTTATTTTATCACGTAAATAATGCAAAAAATTGGAATCGCAAAAACCTGTGATAGAGCAAACATCGGCTAAACAAATACTAAACGAACATCAGGCACAAATGTACCAAAAGTTTACCACAAAAAAAAAAGTAACAAAAAGAAAAAGCGGATTTGCTTTCCTTGAGTTTTCCTTTTAGGACCTTTGGGTCCTGTAGCCGTGAACTCACTGTACTGTGTTGTGTGTCTACGGTGCAGGCGGTGTGACCAGTGAGTCCCTCGGTTCCGGTCAGAAAGACACGGTGAGGCAAGAGGAGGTCACGTCCTACCAGGGACAGTTCTGTGGACGAGCTCGTGTCCACACGGACTTCGTCCCCAGTCCGTACGACACAGACTCTCTGAAACTGAAGGTAAACATTATGATCTCCGCCTTCTTGGAAACGTGACGACGGTTTATTCTGTCACACAGTCGGGAACGAGAAAAGCATCGAAACCTTGTTCGCTTTCTTATTGTGACCCCAGGTGGGAGACATCATCAACATCATCAGCAAACCTCCGATGGGCATCTGGACCGGCATGTTGAACGACAAAGTTGGAAACTTCAAGTTCATCTATGTGAAAGTTCTAGTGGAGACGGAGACGGAGTTGGAGGAGGAGACGACAGAGGGAGAAAAGGCTCCGGTCATCAGGCAGCAGAGACTGTGCAGAAGACCGCGCCCCAAAACGCTGCTGGAGCTGCTGGAGCGACTGAAGCTGGAGGTGAGTCTGCTCCTTAACACAGGGGTTCCCAACCCCAGGTCCGGGAACCGGTGCCGGTCCGTAGGTCATCTGGTACCAGGCCGCAGTGAAAAACCATCGACTTCAGTTTTACTAATTGACTTAATTCTAAAAGAATCTAATCATATCCCGCGGTAACGGCTGATACCGTTTTTGGTACAGAAAAGGTTGGGAACCTCTGCTTTAACACACTCCACACAAACCTACACTGAACGGGGGGTGAAACACCCGCTGCCACCCATGTGGAACAAACTGCAGTGATTATTTTGCCCTGGTTTTGCAGGAGTACGCCTCCGCTTTGCTGCTCAACGGCTACCAGACGGTGGACGACCTGAAGCACCTGCAGGAGAAACACCTGATCGAGCTGAACGTCACCGACCCCGAGCACCGACAGAGGCTGCTGGCTGCTGCCGATTGCCACTACACGGAAGGTCAGGACCCCCGCATACAGCCCTGCAGGGGGCGCCATCAATGTACACCTAATGAGAAAAATGTTTTTTGTTTTTTTTTTATGTTCCATGTCGGTAGGACAACTTTCTGTGTTTTACATGAATTTCTTAAAAAACAGAAGTTAGTTTCTTACTCTTGGCTGGTGATGCCCCCCTCTCCCCCCGGCTTTACTGCCCTCTTCCTGATTTTAACAACAGTTGCATCACTGTGCCCTCCACTCCAGCTTTGTGCAAAACAAATGGAAAACTTAAAAAAAAAAAAAATGTGCAGAGGGCAGAATGCTGCAGAGAAACACGCCACCATACACCTCTAGTCGTCAAATTATATTTAATGCAAATATTTCATTTTGTATAATTAATTCATGTGCTGTCGTTTTTTTTCCTTAATTAAAAAGACGACAGATGGTTAAATTAGTTTAAAAAAAAAAAAGTTTCCACGTTAAACCACCAGCATGGTGAAGCTGGGGCAATTGTACCAACCTGAGGAGAAAAACACCGTGCACTGCACTGTGAGAGGCTTATCAGTGATTTCCTGTTACTCAGATAGAAAGTGCTTAAGAGGGCAGACGTTGTTCCAGTAATCCGATGTCTTGCAGCAGAAGGCTGATTACACTGCAATGAAAGCAAAACTACTTTATGGTACGCAAACAAAAAAAAAATCTGAGCTGACAGGATCATTTTTGTTTGGTCTGTCATCAAGAGATTCTGAGAATTTAAGATCTTTTTTTTTTGTGACAGTTTGACCAAACAGATGGCTGGGCCACAGTGTGATCCCATCAAGCCTGACATTAATTTAATCAAGCACCACTGAATTTCGTTAGTGCTTTGGCAGCACAGGCATGAGGATTAGCGGCCTCTGTGGGGCATTAATAATAAAGAGAGGTGTGTGTCAAAACAGAATCTAATACAAGACGCGGAGGATGAGATTAAAATGGGATATTTTTGCCTTTAGAACAGAGTTAGTTTGAAGTACAAAATACTGTGCGCCCCCCTTTATGACGCAGACGCGAATATAAACATAAACACAAATAAATGCCAGTTGTCTTTCAAAGTATTATTGTTGGACACTTCAAGTACCAAAAAACAAACGAACATTTTAGTTTATTTCTTATGTGAAGAAGTACCAAAAAACATTTTAGTTTATTTCTTATGTGAAGACAATGAGAAAAATGGACGTCTAAGAAAATCAGTCCGAGAAAATTCATACATGAAATAATCATGGTCGTGTTTCCTCTATTTTCTTGCAGCAGTAGTCATTCTAACAATTCCTCCCTTTCCCTCCCATGGAAGTGAGCTAATTTATATGTTGTCCTGCATCTGTCGGTCACCATTTCTTTACTCCCCTGAATTTCTTTGGCGCCCCCCAGGGGAGGCCTTGCATCACTTAAATAACCCACTGCTTCAGGAGATACTTGAATTTACCAAGAAAAAAAAAATCCAACAATCATCTTCCGTTCGCATTAAGTTAGTCTTACACAGTGATCAGAAACTTGAATGATGACGATGATGATGATGATGTGGTTTGTGTGGTTTTAGGTGAAGAAGTCAGAGACACAGAGGAGGATAAATCATCCGACAGTCAACGGGGAGAAGACAGCGACTGTCCCCGAGACTCGGGCTGCTTCATTCCCTCTGAATGTTCAGACGGCAAAGACGACACAGAGCAGCTCACAGACGTCGCTGAATCCTAATCTGTACTTTCATCCAACAAATATGTCGACATTTGGAACTCATGGTTAAATGGACTGATAACTCAACGCAGTAAACACATTTTTATTAACTGTTTTCTGATACTGTTATTTATTGAGAACAAAATCCTTCATTGCAAATCCATACTGTGACTATTTTAATCACAGCTGGGACAAATATCCTGTCATTACGAGTGTTTACAAAAGTATGTGGAACTCAAAGGTATTTCTTCTTTGTTGTTTTGTTTTTTTTTAAAGGGAAATGTCTGGTTTTGCAAATACATAATCAATTATTGCTTATAACATGTTTTGTACAAAAAAAACTTGCACATAATTTGTTACAACTTTGTCTGTTTGTATGTGTATGTAACATCTGTTTCTTGCACATCATTTGTTACAACTTTGTTTGTATGTGTATGTAACATCTGTTTAATGGGTTCTTGTAAATACATTTAATAAATATTTTATCAGTTGAATTTTTTTCCCACTTATTGTGATAATACTAGTTAATGCAAAGTTGAACAAAATTAAATAAATAAATAACACAAATAATCTTAGTCATGTTAAATTCATTTTAATCTTTTATACATATATTTTATTGACTCTAATTTTAGGTCATTTTTTCACTTTTTCCTTCCGTTTTTTTCTCCTTTTCTACGTATTTGACTATTTCCACTCTAAACTACGCACATCAAAATACAACAAAAAACCGAATAATTATTTTAAATAATAATTGTCGAAGGTGTCTCGAAGAAAACTGTCCAAAAAACAAAAATATATGTTTTTATATCACTCATATTTCCAAATATTTCACCTAAAAAAAGCGAGTCAACAAACGTATGCATCATTAATTGGACCGCAATGCCTTTCTCTGATTGGCTGTGAATAAGGAAACGTGTCGAAACCGTTTCTTACGCGACTTCACGCTAGCGCTTATGGGAAAACGAGTACAAAACCATGGCCTTTCTTTTTTATTGTGGGCTCTAATGTTGTAAAGTAAACTACATTACCCAGTATTCATAGGGTGTTGCGTTCAGCGTTGACGTGTGTTTTGTTGGTACTCTGTAAAATTCCCGTGTCGCATCACTTTACTGTAAAATCGCCACAAATGCCACCATTTTACTGACAAATTGTGAAATAGAAACGTTTTTCTGACGTCGCGTCAGTTTGCGGCGATGGGCGGTGAAGTAACAACGTTTGGTAAGTAAAGAAATCGTTAATAGCCGGTTTTAATGTTAACTCTGTGGTTCCGTCCGCCTGACTGTGGTCTTACCGGGTTCTCAGGCTCCTTCATCCTGGTCCTGTTCTTGGCTGGATACCTGGGTCAGCAGTATCTACCTCCTCCAAAACCCAAAGTGATCGGCCTGGACCTGGGCACCACATTCTGCTCGGTGGGCGTCTTTCACTCGAGCAGTGGCGTGGTGGAGGTGATCGCCGACGAACATGGGAGGAAGAGCATCCCCAGCGCGGTCTCCTTCACCTCAACCGAGGTGCTTTCCGGACACGAGGCCGTGGAGCTGGCCGACACCAACCCGCAAAACACCATCTACGACGCCAAGAGGTTCATCGGGAAGGTGTTTGATCCGGAAGTGATGCAGCAGGAGAGTGCCCGTTACCCGTTCAAGGTGAGTTGGAGCAGCGTTTCTGTTGTGAGCTGAGGGCCCGCTGCTTCACCGTCCTGTCATTGGAGAGACACTGATCAAAACATTAGAAAAAGTTCCACCGTCCTGTCACTGGAGAGACACACTGATCAAAACATTAGAAAAAAAATCTAAGTTTTTTTTTTATTAAATAAAAAAGTAATATTTGTTTATACTGTTTTTACAGTACATTTTATTGGACCTCAAGAGTGAAATTAAATCGTTGTAGTCAGATGTATAACAACTACCTCCAACTTTTTTTGGAAGATAATGTTGCGTTTAAATGGCCAGACAATGACAATGGTCTTATTTCCATGCTCCTGTTTTATCTGGAATGACTCCATAAATGTTTGGAGTGTTTTCATTTAGTCTAAATGTCTAATTATCCCTAAAAATCTGACTATAATCCGACTTTTCCAACGTTGCCTTCTCTTCTGTTTTTCTGTCTTTCTGACCAGGTGATCAGCAACAACGGCAGTGCTGAGTTTCTGATCACGACAAACCGGACCTTCGCCGTGAGCCCGGAGTTCATCAGTTCCAGGCTGCTGTTGAAAATGAAGAAGATGGCCGAGCGACAGCTGGGTGTACCCATTCACAAAGCCGTCATCTCTGTGCCTGCGGAGTTTGACGAGAGGCAGAGGAACTACACCGTCAGAGCTGCCCACCTGGCCGGTCGGTTTTACTCATTAATGTTTACTAACGGAACCAAAGGTCCCGTGTTCTGGGGCTAAAGTTCCAGTGTTCCTGTTCACAGGCCTGGAGATCCTGCGTGTGATCAATGAGCCCACGGCCGCTGCCATGGCCTACGGTCTCCACAAGGTGGACGTCTTCAACGTGCTGGTGGTGGACCTGGGGGGAGGGACTCTGGACGTGTCTTTGCTGAACAAACAGGGGGGCATGTTTCTCACCAGAGCCATGGCAGGTCAGTGACCCCCGGGGTATCGGTGATGGGGCAAATGTTGTACGTCAGAAAACAAAAATCTCAAACAGGATCTCCCTGTTTGAGACTTTAAACCATTAACATTTTAATCTGATTATTCACAGAGCAGCAGCGGTTAATCAAACATGCTTGATAATAGTAGTTAATTATTTATCCTAATTACACAGATTCACTTAAGTGGTTAACACAGGTGTTTCAAAGCGGGCAAAAATTAAACACTGGGACAAAGTCACGGCCCAAACTTAATATTTATTGAAAATTGACTGGAATTGTTCATGTTTTCTCTTCTCTCCAGATCCGTAATGTAGATTTTTTAAAATGTTTTTAAATGTAGAAACAAACTTTTTGCGTGATGATTTTTGAGTATGATCTCAAATATAATCACGCTGTGTGCCAGATTTGGCCCCCGGGCCTCAGTTTGACACTTTAATTTCGACAGCCCTACTGTTCCTCACAGTATTTTTGGTGAATTTAAATGGTGTATCTGATCTGTTGTGCAGGAAACAACCAGCTGGGGGGGCAAGACTTCACCCAGAGGTTACTGCAGTACACCACGGAGCGGGTGAGGCAGGAGTTCGGTGTGGCGCCGACTGTCAAAGAGGACATCCAACGTCTCCGACAGGCGGTGGAGGCCGCGAAGATCAACCTGACCGTCCAAACCAGCGTCACGATCTCGGTCCCTCTGCATCTCCACACCAGCGAAGAAGATCCCGGCGCTCCCGCTGCGGTTCTTTTCCGAACCGAGATCGGCCGGGAGCTGTTTGAGGATTTGAACCGAGATCTTTTCCAGAAGATTCTGGCTCCCATTGAGACCGTGCTCGACGAGGGCCACCTGAAGAAAGAGGACGTGGATGAGATCGTTCTGGTGGGCGGCTCCACCAGGATCCCACGGATCAGGAAGCTGATCAGCGAGTACTTTGGGAAAGAGCCGAACACGTCCGTGGACCCCGACCTGGCCGTGGTCACGGGCGTGGCCATACAGGCCGGAATCATGGGCGGCTCCTGGCCGCTGCAAGTGAGTGCCATAGAAATCCCCAACAGACACCTGCGCAAGACGAACTTCATCTGAACTCTGAGTGGTTTCTTCACATGGACCCACGACTCCGTTTTCTCACTCACGGAGTTGAACATCGTTCTACGGCCGACGTGTCGACCGTCGCCATTAAAATGTACAAACGCTTCCTGTGCTTTTTTTTTGTTTTGTTTTTAGAGGAGCAGCGTCGACGTTCGTCTTTGACAGGAAGTGACCAATTAGAGCTGCCAAAGTCACCAGTCGTTTCGCTGCTGCAGAACAACAGTGAGGAAAAAAGTCTTTTAGTCGAGTCTTTTAAAGGGACATTCACACAATGTCTCAGAGTCAGGGACCAACCACTGGTTTAACAGACGACAGACTGGTCCGTACGTTCTGTGCTATTTATTTATTTTTATTTTTTGTAGGTTATTTAAGTAATTCTCTGTACTGTCAAACTGCCAGTCAGTTATTTGGACACAAACGTGTTGGTCCAGGTCACTGGAATAATTTATATTTTCACTGGAATTATTTCTAAAGATGTTGATACATACAGGTATACATATATATATTTGTATGTGTATATATATATACAGTATGTATATTAATATACAGTATATATTTGTATATATGTATATATATTTGTATATATGTATATATATGTATTTGTATATACAGTATGTATATATATGCATATACATATATGTATATATACATATACGTATATGTATGTGTATGTATATATATACACACACATATTTTAACATTTTACAATACTTAACGCGGTTCCATCTTAACATCAGGTTATTTTTGGAACACTTTTTGACAGTCATGCATTATGAGTAATTGTGTCTGTCTGTTGCGTCATATCTGGCAGCTGAAAGACGAAGAAGGAAGTCGTTTTAAGAACTGGAAAAGAAGCCACTTTGGTTTCTTAGCACTCGAACCAACTATGTGTCAGGATCTGATCACAACATTTTAGAGTTGATTGTCCTGTTCAACTGAATTCCTCAGATCATCAACACACGGTAGAGAGAAATGAAGCATTTATACACCCTGCTGCTGCTGTTGCCACTGCTGCCACTGGGGGCAGAGAAGGTCAGCGGTGGTCGCCCCCCCACCTCAGAAGGACCAAAGCTCTGTGTTACAGTGCAGTACAGTATGAAGTGTGTCGTTACACTGGTCGTCTTGTATGAAGTGTGTCGTTACACTGGTCGTTTCCTCACAGCTGTCCTAAAACATCAGCACTTTAAAAAAAACAACAAAATCCTGAACTGTAAGATTTTTCATCTCTGAAATACGAATACGAGTGTCAAAGATTTTCATTTACATTCCTGTGGTTTCATTTTTTATTTTTGTTCATGAGTCTAATGCAGTCTGGTGAAGCTGTGTGTGATGTCAGGATTCAGATAAGAAAAGAAAAAAATATTTATTTTATTAACTGCAGGTTTTATTCATTCATGTTTTATCATCCCATGCTTAAAAATGCAGAGTGAAGTTGTGATGTACAATTAAAAAAAAAGAAAAAAAAAGCATTTCTTAATAAATGAGCTTCCTGCAAACAAACGGTTTGTCTGTTCTGTGGCTCACGTCTCTGACCACGGTGTACGAGAGAAATCAACAAAACACTTCTGACAGAGAGAGAGAAATGGTTAACCAATAAATACGCTTCAAACATAAAAAAAAAAAAAAAAAAAGTTCAACTTAAAAAATCTACAGCAGACTGATTGAACTTGTACTGGAAGATAATTCTTTTCCAACACAAGATGCAACGAGTCACTGCAGAGTGGAAGTTTGAAAATATTGCAGCGTTGTCCCCGGATTCATCTTACAGCTCGATTTTCACATTCACGACCGACTTTGTACAATTTACAGTATTCACACCCACAGACTGGACCATGACCCACAGACTGGACCATGAGCCACAGATTGGTCTCTGTCCCACAGACTGGACCATGACCCACAGACTGGACTCTTTAGCCCAGGCCTCTCACCTCTAGTGTACAGTTAAACACAGCAGCGCACACACAGAAACTCAAAGTCAAACCACACTGTTGTTAAAAACTAAACCGTCACGTGACCGTATTCATCCTCCGACCAAACCAGTTCCACCAGTGCAGCGTGTTGAACTGCAGTAGCACAGGTTCACAGCTGTGACATGCACTATGGCAGTGAATCCAAAAAAGGAGGGCTGCCGCCCCCTGGTGGACGATAGAGGTACTGTAGGTGACAGGGGTGTCAATCACATTTCAGTTTAAATTTGTTAGTTTACTAATCAATTACTCACTAACCTATTGACACTGTGTGTGTGTCAACAACCTATTTACACTGTTTCACATCTTTTGAAATGTTTTAGGAAATATTTGACGTTGTTCCCAGAGTTCATGGCTTTGCGGTAATCTGACACATCACGCGGAAAAACGGCAGGATTTCTGTAAACCGCTCATTTTGTCGCCTCCTCTTTTAAAAAAATTGATCGACAGCAGCGGAGTGCTGACAGACGGCAGGAGTGCTAGTTAAGTAGTAGTTAAACGTTAGTCACATCTTTAAATAAACCTCCTATTAAAACTCTGTGAAACAAACAATAAAAAAAAAACAATCTGCTAAAAATACTTCCCCAAAAACAACAAACACACAAAAAAAAGATATTTACAGAATGTACACAAGCCACCTAGTGGTAGTTCTCTGCATCAGACGCATCAGTTTGAGTTCATCAGCATAGGAATGATGTGAAGGCAAGATCGGTCGTTCTCACGCTGGCTCGGTGCCGCTCACTGACCTACGCCCTGAGTGTTGTAGTAGTCGTAGCTGTTATCTGTGTACAGCTCTTCAGCGCTGTCCAGTCCGTTCCCCATTTCTGCAAAAAAAAACCAAAAAAAACCAGGTCAGTACTAGAATATAACACGGCTTCGTGAAGGCAGTTGAACATTATCTTAATGGAACCAACAGGAAATGAATTCAAAATGACGACAAAGGAAAACTGAAAATGTAGAGAAGGTTTAAGACTTTCTGTTCACTGATGTTCACAGTCACAGTGTTGTTATTTTATCAAATCCTCCATGAAGGGTGGAGTCAGCGTGGGTGGACGCTGGGACTGGGCCTCAACGCTGCTCCGTAAATAAATATAATAAAGAGTGAAGAGCGTAAAATCATGATGTCAGTGAAGTGACTCACCTTTCACCGCCCCCGGAAAAACATGGAGTCAAGACAGACAGTGGTGTCTATAAACTCCGACAAACACAACGCCGTCTTCAGGGGAGGGGAAAGTCAGGGATGCGAGGGATGGATGGATGGATGGATGGATGGATGGATGGGGGAGGGGGAGGAAAAGAACAGAGGGACGCCAGGATGCGAGGGGAGTGACGGATGAACGGAATCAGAGGAAGAAGTCAATACAGAAGAGGTTGGATGCACATCACACGTGAACGATGCAGGAGGTCACTGTGGCTGACCTTTGACATGGAAGAGAACGGAGAAGAGGAGTAGGAACAGGAGAACATTCAGGAGGTCAAACTGATGCATGCTGGGTAGCAGGGACATGCTAGTGGGTCACCTGACACTCGAAAACCATTAAATACTTATTTATGCCAAAAAAAACAAAACAAAAAATTGGAAAATTAAATTCTGAGTGCAGGTGCCCGAAGATACGAGCCAATCACACGACAGAAACTCACGGATTGGTCAGCACGTCTCACCTGAAAAGATGAGTTTCTCCTTCATGACGCTCATGTCTCGACTGGGCCGTCGGACCGCAGCACTCAGCATAATCTGCTCCGGGTGATAGCGGTGCATTCCGCTCATACGATACCTGCGAGGTCAAAGGTCACATTTTTAAAAAAAATTTAAAAAAAGGCACACAAAAAACCCACTAACAGTGTTTAAGCATTAAAATATATAAACATAAAATAATTTGGTGGAGGTTTGTCAAAATCATCTCCCACACATTCATAAAGTATTTGGTAAATAACGTTTTTTTTTCTTTAAATGCTAAAAATCCAATTATTGAATTTGTTTAAATGTTTGTTTAAAAATGTGTTGCTTTTTTTTTTTAAATGTTTGTTTTAAAAATGTGTTTTAAATTATAATCAGGTCGTTATTAATTAAAACTGTTTATTGTTTTTTTTTTTTTCATCTGTCAGTTCTAGGGTTGTTTACTGGTCTGACACGAACCCAAAGGTATTTTAAGTTCGGGGTCAAATGTACACGTTTTCACCACAGTCTGCGTAAATAACAACACTGGAGTTTGGATTAAATTCACAAATGCATTATTGTGATTAACACATTCACTTGGATCAGCGTTAATTACAATAATTACAGCCTTTTCTGTTAATTAACAACTACTACAGTGATTGGCCGACCCCCTGAGTAAAGAACAGATCAGTGGTGTATGATTGTGTGTGTGAGTGTTTATATTAATGATGATTGATCAAAGAACTGAACCCACTACTGAAAGAACACTGCGTTCTGTTCTGTTCTCTCAACCGACCCAGTTAATCAACAATCTTCCTCTGCGATCACACCCTCTCGCTGCTTAAGTTTGGATTTATCTTTGTGGTGTTAATGCTCGCGGCTAGCCGCCGGGCCGCGATTTAATTAAGGTAACTTCAGAGGATTAGTCAGAGCGAGCGACAGACGGACGGACGCGTTCAGGGACAGGAATGCAAACGAGCGTCGAGGCTTTAGTTCATCAGGGTCAAATGAGAGCCGGCGCTGATGCACTTCCCCTGATTAAAGCACGTCCGTCCATCAGTCAGACCAACGACCACGGTGTTTTAAACTAATGAGATGGAAAAAAAGAAATTTGTCGATCTTGCTGTAAATACTTTGTGCTGCGTGGGTGAATACGCTGTTAATGAAATTCAACACAGCAATAGCTGTGTGTGAGACAGACAGTAGGAAGAAGAAGAAGAAGAAAGAGGAAAGTTAAGTGAGGAGAAAAAAAAATCTGATGGTGTTCGGTTTCTTCATTAAGAACAAAAAAAAAACAAAATTGAAATCTGTGACAACATCTAACTTCAGTAGACCAGACAGAGGACAGGATGAAACGGTAGAAGAGTTTGGGTCAGAGGAGGCGACCCAGTTACCTGATCATGTGATAGCTGAGAGAGGATGCCAGAGGAATGCAGCAGAGGAAGAGGAGAGCATGCACATCAGGCAGAGGAGAGAGGACGAGGATGGAGGAGAAAAAAGGAGGAAAAAA